CGTGTCCTAGCGCCCAGGGACCCCCGAGGGTGCTGAGCTGGGCGCGGGTCCTACGGGGTCCAGAGACTCCCTCCCGTCCCACTGCTGCTGGGGGAGGGGGGCTCTCCTGGAGGGGACAACTCTTTCTGGGATGGGAGAAGGCGCCCAGAGACCCCAGGGAGCGGCAGGGGCGCGGGTCCTACCGGAAGTGGAGGTCCTTGAAGGAGAACTGCGTCTCGATGATGCCGGTGGTCTTGACCCGTGAGCGCAGCACGTCCTGCTCCGTGGGTACGTAGCCGGGGGTGACCAGGCGCTCCAGGTCCGAGAGGTAGCTGCAGAGACGCGGGGGGTGAGGGTGGGGTGGGCGGGGGCAGCAGGCCCCGCGCCCACCCGCGCCCCGCGCTCACTAGCCCGCCGAGTCGTTGAGCTGGTACTCCGAGGCGCGTTCGAAGCAGGCCTGGATCCCCGAGTCCTTCCACAGCCGCTGGATGATGTCCGACATCTCCTTGGGCATCGTGCCCTCCTCTATGGTGTCCGCCATGTGCATCAGCTTCCGCGCGTCGTCCTGGGGATCGGGGTGGGACTGGGTTGCTGTTGATCCTGGACGTGGACCCGAGCGCCCCCAACCCAGCCAGAGGACCTCCCCACCCCCTGCCCCCACTCTCAACCCCGCTCCCCGCGCACCTGGCGCGCAGAGTCTCCGTACTGGATGTTGAGGGTGGTCATGGCGCGCACGATGGCCAGGATGGACTGCAGGGTGTTTCCGTAGATGATGGCGATGAACTCGAGACACTCTTCCAGCGAGTACCCATCCTGGTGGATAATCCTATGGGCCCGGGGCAAGCCAGGTCAGATCCTCATGGGCCAGTGGTGGGGACTGACAGGTCCCCTGCGCACCCTCTCCCCAGGGGTCTCCGAATGGACAGGGCACTCACTTCATCTGCTTGACAATGGTGCTTTTCCCCGACTCGCCGGCACCTGGAAAGAATGACCCTCCTCAGAGCCACTGACCCAACAGACACCCCCCCCCCCCCACCACCACACACACACGGTGGGCTCAGGGCACCAGGTCAGCCCCAGGCACACCTCTGCCTTCCATCCTCCAAAGAAACGTGCCACACCCTGGCAGAAAGTCACGTTTGTAAACGCTCAGAGTGGTCAAAGGGCTGCAGAGGGAAATCAAGGCCATGGTCCCCAGACAGGTTAATGGGAGAACAAAATTCGCAAACCCTGGAGCGCCACCTTGTGGACGGAAGCGGTATTGCTTGCTGGGGATTACTCAGCCCGGCTGCGTGTCTTCCAGAGAGGGTCAGAGGGAATCAGCGCCTTCAGGTGAGGGAAAGGCAGAACTGGCAGCTCCTCTGACCTGCCCTTATGAGGATGGTGAGTACAGTGAAATATCTGACTTAGCTTCTCTGTCTTGTCTGGTGGTACTCTGTTTTGGTCCCTTTGGAACTTCTAACATCCTGACCGTGGAGAGTACCCTTTGCCCAGCCCCAGCTCTCTGCAGGGGTGGGACCATACTAGCAGTGCTGGGGTTACTCCTGGCTCAGTGCTTATGTGTAGTACTAAATCAGGGCCTCCTGCATGACCAGCCTTTCTCGCATACAGACCTCTCTCTAGCTCTGTACAGCCCCCACTCTTTCTGGAGCCGGAACACACCCTGGGATCGCTCCTGGCCGACTCGGGGGACCACAGAGGACACTGAAGACCAAATCCAGGTAGGCTGCGTGCAAGGAAGGTGATGTGCTATCACTCTACCCCCTGTACTGCCTCTTATTTTTTGCTTTTGGGGTCACACCCAGCGATGCTCAGGGGTTACTTCTGATCTGATTCTACACTCAGGAATTACTCCTGGCAATGCTTGGGGGACCATATGGGTTGCCAGGGATTGAAGTCAGGTCAGCCACGTGCAGGGCAAATGCCCTACCTGCTGTACTATTGCTCTGGCCCCTGTACTGCCTCTTTTTTTTTTTTTTGCTTTTTGGGTCACACCTGGCAATGCACAGGGGTTACTCCTGGCTCTGTGCTCAGGAATTACCCCTGGCGGTGCTCAGGGGACCATACGGGATGCTGGGAATCGAACCTCAGTCGACCACATGCAAGGCAAACGCCCTACCCGCTGTGCTCCAGCCCCTGTACTGCCTCTTAAAGCAGCTCCTTCCCCCACTTTGGGGAAGGCAGTAACTTGGAGACTCTGGATTACCCCCACATCCCTCCCCACCCATGACACCCCGGACTATTCCCTGCCGGGCTTCAGTACTCCCCTAAGAGTCACACTCCTCCACTCCCCTAAGAGTCACATAGATCTGTCAGCAGTAAAGTTCTGGCACCTGAGGGCCAGTTTCTCTGCTTCTGAGTAGTCCTGCAGCTATCCACTCCCAGAACAACAGTGACCTTCTTCCCAAGAGTGCAGCCCCATAGAGGGGCTCCCAAGGAGACCCCTGGTTCCTGCTCCTTGCTTCACAGACCCATCACGTGGAAAGCCAGAAGTTAAGGCAGTTCAGCCAGGGGAAATGTGTGTTGCACACACTTGCAAGGAGGTTTTGCATCCCCTCTCTGCAGAGGGACCCCAGCCTTGGGGAGCGAGGACTGGCTGGGACTGCCAGGCCTTCCTCTCTGTTTCCTGCCCTATTATAGATTCGCTGGCTCCCCAAAGCACTTCACAGAAGGTCACCTGTCTGCCTGTGCTCAGGCTGCTAACCTGGTGGCATTGGCCATGCCTGAGCCCAGGCCCCTACCCAGAAGCAGCAGTTTCACGGTCCGAGCGTCCTTCTCGGCATCTTCTTTCAGCTTCTTTTCCAGCTCCCTGGAGTGCTTCTCCTCGGCACTGGCCCCAGCCCCCATGGCCTCGGCCGCAGGTGAGGAACGTGTGTGGTCAGTGGGCTCTTCTGGATGGAGAGGATCCCCAAAGCCAGTCACCCTGTCTCAGGCCCCCCACCCCCGGAATAGCAAGCAACCAGCTCTGCACAAGCCTGTGCGGGCCCCGGTGGGCTGCTTAGTGGGATTTGGAGACTGGGGTGCCCCAGAGCCAATTGGAGACAAGGACAGGAGAATCCCGCTCAGCCCCCTGCCCTTCTAATCAGGCTGCTGTGGCCCCAATCCCTCAACTGCTGACTGGGCGCCTCCAGGAGAGGCCCGGCACGGTCCCGCCCCTCGCCACAGTGGAAGGGAGCAGGGTGGTACGTGCTGTGGGATTGTGGGGGGGGGGATGTGACCGGGACAGGGCCTCCACATGTGTCTGTCACTGGCACCAAGCAAGGCAATGCCACAATGCATCTGTCCGTGAGCGTCCGTGTGCCTGGACAGTCAAGCACATGCGTGTGCAAAGGTTCTTGTGCGGCTCTTCCTTTGCAGCTGCGTGCTCTGCAGCACTGGTGTGGTGTCCCGGTGCATGTACTTGCCTGTGCGTTTGTTCACGTGTGCCTGTGTGTGTGAGCACGTGGCTGTGCACACGTATGCCTGAGTGTACCTGTGCTGTCCCACTGAGGGGAGCGACCCCTGAGCACCCAAACGTACACACGCCTCTGCTTCTATACATGGGGACCTCTGACCGCACGAGGCAGCCAGGGCTTCCAGTGTTCAGGGTTGGAACAAACTGGGAAAATGAGCCCTAGGACAAGTCTGGTCTCCCCAGGGGCATGGGAAGCGAGATTGGGCCCTGCAGTTGTTCTGCAGCATTGAGGAGTATCTGTAGGGTACTTTGGCCTCAGTGGAAGGATCTGGGCTCAGTGTGGGCTCGGCAGAGCTGGGCAGATACAGGGCCTGCCACTGGGTTGAAGTCACTCATGTGGCACAATCCGCCTCAGAGACCCCCACTCCCCAGGGCATCAGATTCCTGGGCAACTGGGCAACTGGCTTCAACTTCAATGTCACAGCCCCAAGTGACCACAAGGGGGCCCCAGACACCGAGTGTTGCTTCTGTCCCTAAGCAGGACGTGTGGGACGTGAACACTTCCCTCATGGGGGGCTTCCACATCCACCCTAGGGTAAGGGGGAATCCTTCCAGGTGCCTTGGACCATTTGCACCACTCTCAGCCAGATGTGCGCCCATGCCAACCTCAGGGCCCTCCCTCCCCCCACACGTCAGTGGCGGGGGACTCTGCAGCTCTTCATAAACCATTCCGGTATGGGATGGTGCAGGAGTCCTAATTTGGGGTTTTTTGTTTGATTTTGGGCCTCTGCACCTGGCGGTCCTCAGGAGGGTATATGCGGTGCCAGGGATGGAACCAGGGCTGCAGCAGAGGGAGCTGCATGCAAGGCAGCCCCTTGGCTCCTGCATTCTCTCTCCAAGCTCCATTTTTTGTTTTTGGGCCAACCTGGTGATGATGAGGGGTTACTCTTGGCTCCGCACTCAGGGACGGCTCCTGGCATGCTTATCTCTCTGGCCCCTGAGAACCCCATTTTTAAAACTCAGGTCTGCTCCATTCCCAGTCCCCCACTTGCTCCCCTTGTCCAGCGGGATCCACGGGCCTCTGGCTCTCAGCCCTCCCCTGCTGGGGCTGGGGTTAAGGCTTCTGACCCTACTTCTCTGTGCAGTGACCCCCACCTCCGCTTATGCTGCAGCCCCTCCTCCCCCAAAGCTGACTGGAAAGGAGCCAGGATTGCAATTTTTGTCAGTGGGAGGTGGTCAGTCGGACCATGAGGGTAGTTGGCTTCTTCTTGCCAATTCTCAGTCGCTGGTGCCCAGGACAAGGCTGGGCAAAGTCAGGTGAGACGGTGACAGGCAAATGAGCAAACCACTAAAGGAGCAGAGGAGCCCGGCCGCCGGAGGAGCACCAGAGGAAGAGAATCTGGCTGCGCCCGCCCTCCGCCAAGGAGAAGAGCCAGTCCATTCCCAGAGGCTGTTTATTAACAAGATGGAACCCAAGGGGGGCTGCGGAGTGGGCAGAGGAGGGCCATCAGGAGCCTCTACCTACTGGCCCAGAGCTATTTACACCCATGCCTGAAGTGGTGGGCCGAGGGAAGCCTCACCCCCACCACGGCCCCTCTCCCCCCCTGCTATTCTGGCCCGAGTCCCAGAAAAAGCTAAGAGGAGGTAGAGGGGGGCAGCCCTGCTGGCCCAGGCAGGGGGGAAAGGGGTGGAGGTGCTGCCTCCCCACCCAGGGCTTCTCTCCTGCCCCCAATAGAGGAGAAAGGCCCGGAGGGAGGGCCCCAATGAGGCCACCCCACCCCCACTCCGGGCCCCGGCATCCTGTAGGCGCCCTTTCTCTAGAAGCATCTGCACCCCACCCTTGCCCTGCTCCCAGCAGTCTTTGCACCCCGGGGTGCACATGCCGCTGGTACAGGGGACAGTCTGTGCCTTGCTCCGGTGGCGCGCGTCCCTCCCGTGTAGATCCTGCGGAGGTCCTGGAGATCCCGGTGGGCGAGGGTGATCCAGAAGCCGACTCCCAGCTGAGTGTGGGGACTGCTCGGTCTGGCCCGGTCCCCCCCGCTGTCGCCTGCCATCAGGCCAGCAAGGGTCTGAGCTGTGGGTGCTGCCGCCGCTGAGGTGGGCTGGGTACAACCCACCAATAAATACTGTCTTTGCAGGGGTGGGTGTGTATAGAATATAGATATTTTTTATATTTATATATTTATATATATATATATAGATCTTTATATTAAAGGGATGGGCCCAGCTGGCCTGTGGCGGGGCTCCCACGGCTGGGCCTCAAGTGTCCGGTGGATGGTGGCGGCGGTTCCGGGGTTTTTTCGGGTCCTGGAGTTCGGGAGGCCGGGGAGCCCCTGGTGCCTCCCTGGGACTGGGGGGCACGTGGCGCCAGTAGCCCTGGCAGTACTGGTGGATGAGGCCCACTTCTGGCTGGGCCAGCAACTGGGCCAGCTCCTGGTAGGGAGGTGTGGGGTGGCCTGCGCCTGGAGGTGGTGGGGCGCTCACAGCCGGCGGTGGGAAGAGGGCGGCATGGACGGCCTCCCGGCCCAGGACGTGCAGCTGGACCCGCGTGACCACGTGCTTGAAGTTGTTCTCGGTGGCTGTGCAGGAGTAGAGACCTCGGTCCCCGAGCTGCAGGGCGCGTAGCAGTAAGCCCTGCTCTGTGCGCAGGAAGCGGTCCTCGGCGCGGATCTGGGGAGCAGAGGGTGCTCAGGGGCTGCGGTGCCACACAGCTGTCCCCACCAGCGCCCAGATCGAATCACCTTTGTGGCCGCTGCTGGGAGGGGCAGCGATGTGGTATTTCCAGACACCCCGAGAAACCCACATGAACTTCCCACAGAACATCTGACATGCGTTTGCACTTGAGGGGATTCTGCACGGCGTGAGACTGGGAGCAACAGACTCCCAGAATTATTTAGCGGGAATGCCTTGAGGGGCCCCCACAGAGAATTCCCCTGGAAGGCGGGAGGCTCGAAGGCATTTCCTAAGAGGGGGGCTACTCCATGGAATTTTCCTCGCCCTGATGCTCGCCTGCATGATGGTTTCATAGAGCAGAGCGTGCCGAAGCAATTTTCATGTAAGTATGATTTCCACGTGGATTTTAGTTTCTACATAATTGGACACGCCCGATGACTGCTGTGTTGGGCAGGGAACCCGGAAGGGTTTTCTTAGAACGAGCGCTGCGCCCCAGACTGGCTCCGGTCCCAGGCTCCACACCCACGGACTCTTCTCTCTTTTCAGGGACCCCCAGGTCCACAGCAAAGCTCATGGGGCACAGGAACTCACCTCTCGGCGACGGTCGCTGGCATCTCGCTGGAACAGCCACTTCACGGTGGCCTGGGGCGAGCGGGGCTGGCACTCAAGGAAGGCGGCACTGCCCGCCACGCCGTACTGCACGGCCTCCACGGCATTCTTGTTGGCTGTGGAATGAGGCTATGTAAACGCAGCCCGTCTTCGGGCAGACGCTGAGCCACACGGAGAGGGACCCCCAGACACCTGCCTGTCTCCATGGAGGCAGGGCCGTGTCCCTGGGCATCTGTTGTGTCAAAGGGATGAAGAGGCAGAGGACAGCCCCGTCGCCATATACCCTGGCCCCTCCCCCCTCGGACCCGGTGACGCTCTATCCAGCAGGGGTCCCCGCCATACCCAGGAGTGGGGAACAGTCACTCACCATTGGAGTTGAACCCACGGCACTGCCTGATGGGGTTTCCGTGTCGGATGTCCTGCCGACGGCTCCGCCTGGGGGAACAGCACCTCTAAAGGCAAACTCCCCAGAAACCTGCCCTGCACACAAGACCCGGCCCCCCAGAGCCCTGTAGTGGGACCCCATCCGCCTCTAGCCCCCGGGGGCGACCCTGGTCAGGGTGTGGCTACCTCTTGGAGGATGCAGTGTAGCGTGAGCAGGCCTGGCCATCCCAGGCGCAGTAGGGGTCCCGGGCGAGGCAGCAGTCGGCACAGGCTGCCCCATACGCCTGGCAGCGGTGCAGGCTCAGGTGCGTGACCCCCACTGCTGAGGCCACGTACAGTTGTTGCTAGGGGCAGGAGGAGGTAGTGGTCGGTCAGGTCCCTTCCCGTCACCAGCCCCCAAAAGTTGCCCTTTTTGTTATTTGTTTTGGGGCCACACCTGACGGTGTTCTGGATTTACTCCTGGCTCTGTGCTCAGGGATCACTCCTGGTGGCTTACGGGATATGTGGGGTGCCAGGGATCAAACCCAGGTCTGCCACATGTAAGGGAAGTGCTTTATCCACTGTACTATCGCTCTGGCCCCTCCAGCTCCCATGAGGAGCCAGCTCCTTCCTTCCTGCTGCTGTTTTGTGCCTCAGTTTCCCCATCTCTGTGTCAAAGTTGTGACCCCCCCAGCAGATGCAGGCTCCATCCCTGCCCCAGGCCCATCCTGCTTAAACTCACCCGCTTGGAAGAGATGGTCATGGTCTTCACAGGTGCTGGTTCCTAGGAGACACATCAACTTGGGACCCCAGGTCTGCCTGCCCAGCCAGGCCCTGAGCTCCACGGGGAGGAGCTGGCACTGGGGAGGGGCCCAGGGACACACACCCACCTTGAACACCTCCACCTCTTCCAGCATGAGCTCCTCCATCTCCTGGTCATCCTTGGGCAGCACAATGACCTTCTGAACTGTCCCGCGGTCTGGAACGGGCCGGGCAGGGCCTCAGTGGGGCTGAGGATGCGGGGGAAGGGCACCGGCCTCAGCCCCTTCCCCCGCCAGGGCCCAAACCCCCAGGGCAGTGGAGTGAGAACTCTGGGCCGAAGGTGAGGCGTCTCCCCACTTGGGGGTCACTACCAGACTCTTCCCGTCCCACCCAGGCTCTCGCCATGGGCACTGCGGAGAAGAGGGCGGCAGGGGTGTTCCCTGGGGGGAGGCCGCTGGAACTATGGGGGCGCGGGCACGAGTGTCAGTGTTGGGACTCGTGGACCCAAGAGCTGCCTATAACCACCCTCCCTTTCCTGCTCAGACACAGGTTCTCCAGGACGGGGAGGAGAACGGGGCCCACGGCCCCCTGGCCAAGGCTGAGGGTGGCAGGATGCCCCTGGCCCACCTGGAGCCCCCTAGCAGGGGAGGGCCCAGCCCCATGATCTGTGCTCTCCCCCCAGCGGGCCCCGCGGGACAGGGGCCGGGAACAGCAGCGGGTACCTGTGCCCAGGAAAAGCACCTCATAGCGCCCGTCGGCTGCGTCCACCTGGTCCACGGCGACGGTGGTGAGGCGGTAGGGCGCGCCCGTGCGGACCACCAGGGGACGTCGCTGCAGGGGGTACACGGCCTGGTACATGAGGGGGTGGCTGCGCATGAAGTTGATCACCTCGTCAGGGTAGTCCTTGGTGGACTTCATGGACGGCGTGAAGGTCCCTCCAGGGCACTGTGGGTGGGCGGCAGGTCAGGTCCAGCGGCCAGCTCCCCATCCCACCGATCCCCACTCCCTCAACCTGCTCCCCCTCACCCAGGAAGCCCTGACCAGCCCCGTCAGTCCCTGTCCAGCCCAGGTCTCTCACGGCCACTTCCCGGGCCTCGTAGGCCGTGACCCTGTGGCAGCGCTTGGCGGAGCTGCTGCCCCTGATCCCTAGCACCGTCCTCCCCCACCCGCCCGCTCCTCCCTCCTGGCTGTTCCTCCAGCCCTTGCCCTGGTGTTCAGCAGTCACTAGGCCTGAGTTCCTGGAGCCCACTAGCCTACCCACCCCCTCTGACACTGTCTGGGAGTCTGCTGGCTCCCTACCCTGCAGCCTTCTAGCCTGCCTGTCCCCTCTGCGGGGCGGCCGGATGCTCCCTGACCTCTGCCACATGCGGCCAACCTCCTGCTGACCGCAGGGCGCCATGCCGGCCCGCTGTGCTGGGTCAGGTGGCATCCCTCCCCTGCCCACATGAGATTCAGTGAGCTGCCCACGCTGCCTTGCCTGCTCCTCCCTGCTGGGCCTTCTGACTGCATCTCCAAAACGGGATTCCTGACTCCTTGGCGGTCTTATGCTGCGTACACAGTGGGTTTCCTGCTTTCTACAGTTTCATTCTTTTTATCTGTTTTGCTTTTGTTTTCTGTTTTATTTTTGCGACACCCGGCAGTGCTCCTTGATCATTCCTGGCAATGCCTGGGGGGACCATATGGGGTGCCAGGATCAAACTAGGGGTTAGCTACATACAAGACAAGTGCCCTCCCCATTGTACCATTCCTCTGACCCCCACATTTTTTTTTGGGGGGGGTCACACCCGGCGATGAACTGGAGTTACTCCTGGCTCATGCACTCAGGAATTACTCCTGGCGGTGCTCGGGGCATCATATGGGATGCTGGGAATCAAACCCGGGTTGGCCACGTGCAAGGCAAATGCCATACCCGCTGTGCTATTACTCCAGCCCCAGACCCCCACATTTTAATTTCCCACTGAGCCATGTCCCTGGCCCTCTACCCCTTTGATTCCAACATTATGGAGGGCACAGGATGGATTTTTGCGTGAGCATGGCCCAGATCCCCGCATCCAGGAGTTCCATGATGGATGATGGTGGGCCCCCGAGTGTAGACCTGAGCTGGAGCAGGCCTGGAGGGGTGGGGTGGGGGTCCTCACCGTGCCAGGCCGTGGGTAGGGCATCTTCCCTGAAAAGGGCATCCACTGGTAGTTGGGGCCCTCTTTGTGGGCAAAAGGCCCATTGAAGACCATGCGGATGTCAGCCATGGAGTAGACACAGACAGCGGAACCTCGGAACACGGAGCTGCGAACCAGGCAGAGCTGCTACAGTGGGGGACATGGGAGGCAGGCCCAGGCCTGCCCCCTCCCCCAGCGGCCCCCCCAGCTTGCCACTGGACTGGGCTCTGGTGCCCCCCGCAACGCCGATCCAGCCCCAGCCTCACCCTGAAGAGGTGAAGACCGCATAGATGACAGGGTTCCTCACGTCCTGCGTCTGCTGGACAAACACGTCCTCTGGGGACAGAAGGAAAAGATGCTGGCCAGGTGGGCTAGGACACCTCCCTGGCACAGCACCCCCATGGTGGTCCCTCCTCCGCACCACCCACCCACCCACCCACCAGGCACTCACGGAGTTCATCGAAGTGGGTCTCGATACCATCCTCCCCAGGCACCGAGCACACCAGGCGTGCCTTCAGGAACGTGCTCCACTTGTTGACCAGGCAGCAGTGGCCGCCATCATCATTCTGGGGCAAACAATAGGGAGTCAGGGCAGCGGCTCTGCACCACCACGCTGGGCCCCTGCCAGAGCAAGGCCAGCAGAAGCAGGACCAGAGGGGAGTGGTGGGGCAGGGGCAGGGGCAGCTGCGGGGGTGCCTACCAGGCAGATCCGCCCGATGCGGGCGTACACGGCGGGGCTCTGCGGCGCCTCGGCAGAGCGCTCCCGGAAGAAGAAGTAGAGTTTGTCGTCATTGCGCTCGGCGCTGTCAGGGATGAGCTCGGCGTGGATGAAGGAAGGATCTACAGGAGGGCAGGGGGCAGCTGGGCACACCCTCTCTCAGGCCTCTCTCCCAGCAGACCCCCACGAGGTGCAGGAACATCCTGATGCCAATGTTGCCCCAGGCTAGAGCACCCCCTGCCAGCCAGTCTCAGGGGAGAAGCCCTCACTCCAAATGCTTCTTTCTGGGCCTCCCCAGAAAGCTCAGGTCTAAGGGCCACTCCTGGTGATGTGTGGCTTGACTGTGTGGGCTGGGCAGTTCATGGTGATGCGGTCACTAGGGCGACCCCAACAGTGCCGACCAGCAAGGCCACACCCAGTGGTGCTGGGGGACCGGCAATAAATCCAGGGCTCCAGCCCCTTGAGCTCTCTCCCAGCCCCTGCACTGCCACACCCCAGGCAGTCTGCCCCCCACCCCCCCATGCGCTCACCATTGAGCCACCGAGAGTTGTACTGGTCAGTGCGCATGGCTGTTTGCTTCCCCAGCGTGCGGAAGATGGCTGCGTCGGTGCCCATGAAATCGATGTACACACCGGCATAGAGCTCCTCATCTGTTGGGGGTCAGTGGGTCAGTAGGGGAGCCACCTCTGCTAGGGTCAAGGCAGAGCCCAGATGGCCTCCACGGTAGGGTTCTGTGTGCCCCCCCCCCCAAGCTCTGGGAGGGCTGGGATGGGCAGCACCAGCTCTGAGAGCAGCAAGGCCCTTTCTCGGTGCCGGACCTCCCACCGCAGCTGATGTCAAGCTACAAGCAGGGGCCGTGGGATGCAACTGCCAATACCCCGACACTCACAAGACGTGAGTGACCGCAAGAAGGCGGGTCACGGTCCACTACAGCAGAATCATCAGGAAGTGGCACATTCTGAGTGTTTACCTTCATTGGAAAGTAATTCATTTCCTTGTAAGTGTGTGTGATTTAGTTCTCATCAACGGTTGCGTTTCACCGCTGGCTCACAAAAAAACTCAACACTTCACTGTAAGCTTCCGGGAGCTGGAGCTTAGTCACCTCGGGGCAGGCCCTGGTTTGGACTGCCTAGGCTGGGCTGGGCAGCCAGGAAACAGGCAGAGGATGGGGGCCAGGGATGGCACAAACTTGGGAGGGGTAGTAGCTGCCCCTGAAATCCTGGGTCTCAGGACCCCAGTTCTCCCAGACACTGGCCAAGCTGCCACATTCCCTGCAGCCAGCGCCTGTGTGTGGGCTCAGCCAGCCTTACAGATGACCCTGGGACATGCCATGGGCACCCCACAGGTTACCCCAGTGTGGTATCGTGAGGCAGCCTGTGGCTGATGGCCTCTGGCCTGCGGCAGGATGGCTATGTGGGTCTCGGGATAGCCCCCAAACAGGGGCTGCAGAGGGGGTTCACAGCACCCTGTCTCTGCACCCCCTGACCTAGGGGGGCAGTTACGGACAGCATGTTTATGGTCTTCCCCCCAGGAGCACATATCACTGACCCCCCACCCCCCCATGGACATTAGACACATTACGGTGGTGGAAGGGGGAACTCACTGATGAGAGCTGAGGCCGTGTCCAGCTTGGGGTCGTACGGACACTTGCCCTTCCCGGACTCGAGTCTCTCTGGCTCCAGGTAGAAGATGTACTCCTGCAGGGCAGAGGCTGCCTCAGCACCGTCAGGAGATGCACCCGAGGCTCCCGGGGGTACACCCTAGGTCCCCCCGTCAGAGCCAGGCAGTGGGCCCCTGTGGCCAGAGGCTCTGCTCTGGGGACCGTCCACACCAGCAGGCTCAGAAGAATGGCCCGTGGGCAGATACACTCTGCCACCGGCTGGTCCAGGGCAGGGGCTGCTGGCCTGGCCTCCGTCACTGCTGGTTTGGAGGTCACTTGTCCCCAGCATGGTGCCTTACTTGTGATCCTTGGACCAGACTAAAGGGCCGTGGCCTTTGCCCTGCCCTTCAACAGTGTCCCCAGTGACACTTAGGGAGCTAGGATTTGCAGGGTCTTAGCCCAGATCCCCCCGAAGCGGCGCGGAGGCTGGCTGCTGAGGGTGCAGGAACAGAGGCGGGTGCGGGGGCAGCAGCAGCAGGCGGGGGCAGCGGGCGGCAGGGATGATGTGTCACAGGCCGCTTCCAGTCACACTTGCACACACAGCACGTGGCACGCACCGCTCTCACGCCGGCACATGCACACACACTTGAGCAGGCCGACTCGCACCACTCTGTGCCGGACACACAAGCTCAAGTGACCACTTGCTCTTTTCGTTCACCCACTGGCAGCCCCTGACCCCGGCCCGCCCCAGCCCAGCCCCAGCCCTCCCAGCCCAGTTCTAGGTTGTGATGGGTGGACAGATGACTTTGCCCACCCCACCCCCCACAGGGAAGGATACTCTGAGACCAATGATCTCTGGGAATCAGGGGCACAGATGCCCCCTCGGACTGCTTGGGAAGGGGTGGGGTGACGGTGCACAATATGTGTGGCCCCGTCCACATCAGGTCCTCAGGCATGCCCACGCAAGTGTCCCCAGGGCTGATGCACAGCTCTGCCCATGGCTCCCGTCTTCCCCACCTGGACCTTCACGATTTCCTGCCTGCAGTGGTCACACTGCGGCTCACGCGAGTCCAGCCCGAGGGCGCTGCAGAGGAGGAGGGGGGAGAGAGGGGAAGACCCTGGGGAGGCTGGCCTGGGGGGGGCGCTCCTGGTGGGAAGGCCGGCTCCAGAGCGAGCTCAGTTCAGGCCCAGAGGGAGGAGCCCACCTGGCGTGGGGCTGTGGGCGTCGGGCGTAGGGCGCCATCCGTGGCTCTGCTGCCGCGGCCTCTGACCGCCTGCGTCTGGGTCCAGGGCGTGGCCTGAGAAGATGAGGAACAGGGGTTAGAGCCAGGGGTGGCCGGGGCTGGGGGAGCGGGCTCGGGCTGCCAGTCACTCACACCACACATGCTGGGACCCCTGAGCGGAAAAGGGTGTGCGCACGCACACGCATGCACGCACACGCACACACCACAGCCTGCCACACGCCTGCACACCCAGGTGCCCCACAGGCCCAGTCACACCCATGCACGCCCTACAAGGCCACACCAACTCGTACACAGGCCCACATGGAAATGGAAGCAGGCAGAAGCAGGCGGGGGCAGGGCAGAGCTGGGGAAGGGGCAGCTCCTTCCCCAGACCACTCGGCCCAGGTCAGCCCCAGCATCTCCAACCTCCTGACGCTGAGGCCCCTGCCAGGCCCTCTTGTTGGGCTGCAGGGGCACGGTCCACAGGCATGGCCACGAGAACTGTTGCCACGTATGGAGCAAGCACTCACTACGTGCCTGGCACAGTGCTAAGAGCCTGTGAGAAAGGCAGCTATCAGCCCTGTTGGGGGGCGGGGGACAGAGTTGAGGTACAAGGAATCACTCACCCCTAGTCTCAGGGCTGGGGCTCAGGCCCACACTCCCTCAGGGCCCTGCGGTTGCAGCCACCAGTGGGGGCGGCCGGGGCTCACCTGTGCGCGGCGGCCACGGTTCACGTAGGTGCACACGGGGTTGTAGGCGCCAGTCCCACACACGTACAGGTGTGTTCGGTTCCAGGGCTGAATAAGCCTGACGAAGTTCCCGCACTCACCCTGAGGTCAGAGGGAAAGCTGCAGAGCTGCCTCGGGGGCTGCCCTCCCACCCGCTGCCCCCCCCCACTCACGTTGCCGTCCTTGCCCGAGAGCACACACTCCTCAATGCGCTGTGGGGAGGCTGCCCAGTGGATCTGCCAGAGACGGGAGAGTCAGGGGGGGGCATCTGCTGGACAGCGTCCCTGTCCCTTGGCCCCCATGATGGCCCAGCCAGGCGGGCGCTTACAATGAGGGGCTCCCGGTTGATGTCGTGCAGGTCCAGCGACAGAACGTAGTCCTTGCTGCCCACATACATGCGGTCATGGTCCTCGTCCTTGAGCAGGATGCGGTAGTCAGTTGTGTTGAGCAGGAAGTTGAAGAAATGGGCAGTGCCCGTGGCCTTGAGCTCTGCAGGCAGAGAGCAGGAGGCATGAGGGCCCTGGAGATCAGCCCGCCAAACCCTGGAACAGGGTGGGAACCCCGGCACACCTGTCCCAGACCCCCAGCTCCCTCTCCTGGACTCAACAAATTGGGGGCAGGGGGCCGGAGTGACAGTACAGCAGGTAAGGTGCTTGCCTGGCACACAGCCAACCTGGGTCTGATCCCCGACATCCCATGTGTTCCCCCAAGCCCTGCCAAGAGTGATCCCTGAGCACAGAGATCAGAGCAAACCCTGAGAACCACCAAGTATGCCTCAAAAACAAACAAACAAAAAACAAGTTGGGGGGAGAAAGTGGGGCAGGCGGGCATGCCAGGGAAGGGCCCACACCCACCACTCCAGGCCTGATTCATCAGCAGCCCAACCAGACTCTGGGTCCCAATGACAAGGGTGTGGGTGCAGGCTGGCATCAAAGAGTCTGTGCTCTGATGGGGGTTAATGCTCCCACGCCTCGGGTGTGGCCTTTAAAGGGTTAATGAGTGAGAAGGTGGGGGCTCGGTGTCTGGGGTGGGGGACAGCCCGCACAAGCTGGTTCAGAGCCTGGTTGTCCTGTGCTCACCCCAGCTGCCCACCAGTGAAACAGCAAAGCTGGCACGCAGCAGGGTGCCTACCTGGCTAACATGGATCAGACAGGACCCCGGGGGCCACAGCGCCCTCCCCAGACCCCACTGCTTCTGGTCCTGCTGGAGCCTCAGGTCACTTTGTTTGAAGAAAGGAGGGGGGCGCACACCAGCTGAGCTCAGGGCTTACTCCTGGCTCTGAACTCAGGGATCACTCCAAGGGGCTCATGGGACCATATGGGGTGCCAGGGTAAGGTGGGGATGGGGACTGAATGGGGGTCAGCACCTGCAAGGCAAGTGCCTTAACCACTGTACTATCTCTCCAGCAACCTCAGAATACTTTGTTTTCTTTTGCTCTGGGTCATACCCAGTGGTACTCAGGGTTTACTCCTGGCTCTGCGCTCAGGGATCACTCCTAGTGGGGTTCAGAGATGCTATGGATAGAAACCAGGTCGGCCCCATGCAAGGTAAACAAACACCCTACCTGCTATACTCTCGCTCCAGCCCCTCAGAACTTTTTTTTTTTTTTGCTCTGGGACATACCCAGTGGTACCCAGGGCTTATTCCTGGCTCTGTGCTCAAGTGTGGCTCAGGGGATTGAAACTGGGTCACTTGTGGCAAGTGCCCCCCCCCCCCCACACACACACACATACACGGTACTGTCTGTCACTGTGGCCCTCCCTCAGATCACTCTGAACGTACAGGCTCACTCAGTCCCAAGGAAGATCCTCTCGCTCACTCCCCCCTGTAGGCCACAGTGTCCAGGCTGGGGCCTAGAGATCCTTTTGAAGGCCCCGCTTCTCTGTGGGGTGAGCCAGAGTCCCCAATCCTACCCATCCCAGTGCAGGGGCTGGCGGAGTCCTTCTCCCTGGGGAAGCAGAGCAGGAAGGGGCTCAGCCAACGACGTATCAGGGATAGACCCAGGACGCCAGGAAACTTGGGATCCCTCGTCTGGGACTGGGAGAGCCGAGGGGTCCCCGTGAGCCCCATCTCCTAGCTATTTTACAAGTGGCAACAGGAGGGGCCTGTGGAGAAGGTGCAGAATATCCCGAGCATGGGAACTTGGGCAGCCAGCGGCAACCGTGCATGTGGCACATGGTCCACGTGCCATGACAGATGTGTTTGCCGTGGGCGTGCAGGTGGCAGTGGGGAACCCATTTCACAGGTGAGGGCAGGTCTGCAGAGGGAGGACAGCTGGGCCCCGAGGCTCCCTGCTGCCTCCCGGGGAGACCAGCAGGTGGCCCAGCCCATTCATCAAGGTCACCCGTGCTCGGGCAGCTGTCCGGCCCGGCTAACCCCGGCCCTGCTGTGCCGGGGGCTGGGGCACAGCTGGAGGGGCTGTGCTTGGGAGCAGCCCGGGACAGGAGCTGACCCAGAGTCCCTGCTCAAGGGCTCAGCCCTGCCCGGCCTGACTGTGGCGACAAGAGAATACAGGTGACGACCTTGTCGGGCGCTGGGACGCAGGGACGCCGCGGGATCAAAGGGCCGATCCCTGCCTGGCTGTGGCCGCGCCCGCCTGTCCAGCGGCGCCTCTGAAGTCCTGGGCAGGGCAGCCCGGGCACCTGTCCTGCACCTGTTGTTCGGCCACTCGGAGTCCCCCGCCTGGCCATCCAGCCATAGTGACAACAGGAAAGTAAACACCCCCCACCGCCAGGATCAGGAAGTGGCCAGAGAGGAAGTGGGGTTGCCAGCAGAGCGCCCCCAGGCAGGCACGGCCCGCCAGTGGTTATTTATACCCTGGCTGGGGGCATGGCCTTGGTGGTGCCCTTCCCTGTCCTGTTGGCCTAGGCTAGGGGGCACCTGGGGAGCACCAGAAAGGAAGGAGGAAACCAGGTGGGCAACCAGACCAAGGCACTGTGTGTCTCCTAGGGCCTGACATAGGAAACAGCCTTCGAATCCATCCAAACCTGGGCTCCCAGTGTAGACAGAGTCCTGTCCCTTCACAGCTCCTGTTTCCAAGGCCCCAGCCATGATCCCCCGAGTGCAAAGCTCCAGCCAGAAGAGGGAGAGAGCCAGGCAGAGCAGGAGAGCAGCTGGATCAGACAGCCTGCCCCTCCTCCACCCTGGAGCTCCCAGGCACCCCAGCTGGAGGGTCCCAATTGTCCCTGGGGATCTCTCACCCAGGTACTAGCGGGGCCTCCCCGGCAACCCAATCACAGGAGACTGGTGATGGGCCACAAGGGTTGGGCGAGTCCCATCCCGGCCCATGGCCTTCAGCTGGGAGAGGCGGAGGCCAGAGAGCCCGTCCAGGTGGTCCGTCCAGCTGGGAGGCACTGGGCCGGAAGGGAACTCACCTCCCTTGACAGGGCAGATGACTCAGGACCCTCGGGACCCCTCCCGGCAGCCACGGGATATGGCGTCAATGGCTGGCGTGTCACAGGATGGGATGTTTCAGTCACTGTGGAAACTGGTGGGAGAGGGAAAGCCCTAGGAGGCTGTATGTGGTGGGGGGGAGACCGGGGACGCACTCTCTGCTCTGACAGGACGGAGTGACGCCAGTCAGGGCATTCTGGCTCCTGAGTCCCATTGTTCTATGTAAACATCACTTGGGGTCTCTTAGTACTGACCTGTAATGGCCCTGGGGTGGGGGTCCTGTTCTGCTATCAGGGATTCTAAGTGACCCCAGGACCCTGGGACTGGGACTGCCTGAGATGGGGTATGGGGGGGCGGTCCCACGGAGGCAACACCTAGATGTCACCTCCAACCTTAGTCACAAGCCCACTGCTCAAATTCCTCATGCTGGGATGAGGAGCAGGGGACAGCAAAAGGCTTCCTTTCTGTCTCAGCCCTGACCCTCTACCAGACCCCTCCCAGCACACAGGATAAGAACCAAACCCCACACCTGTCATTCAATCCTGGCCTCCAGAAAGGGAAACTGAGGTGGGGGAGGGGGTTCCCGCTCCCAGGGTGAATGGGGAGTAAGCCTCTGGCCTCATCAGGCCCCCACCCTCACCAGGGGGTCCTCTCACTCAAGGAGACGGTATCCACACAGGCCTCCGCATGAGAACTGAGCCTGGGATCCTGTTCCCCCAAGGCAATGGAACTGGGAGTCGCCATTCCTCCCAGAAGGCCGGGCAGACAGAGCAGGGAGCCCAAGCGTCCACCTATGGCGGCAGCCGCTCCTCCAAGCTTTCAGCGGAGAGCAGGGACCAGGACCAAGGGACCGAGTGGCAGCTGCATGCGGCCCGGGGCCAGCCTGGCCTTGTGCCCCTGTCCCCTCTGTGCCCTACTCTTCCTCAGGCTCTGCTCTGACAGGCGTGCCTCCTTCCTGTCCCCGTGACACCACTGAGGGGGGCTGGGGACACACCCCTGGCTCTCTGGGTGCCAAGACCAAGCTGGGGTTTGACCTTGGGCTGGGAGGGTGGTGTGTGGGGAAGGTGACTCCTGGGAAGGCCTGTCCACCCCCATTCCCTCACCCAGGCTGGGCACACAGATCGGGTGGAGTGACATCCGGGAAGGCTTTTCCCGTCAGGGGGAAGGAAGAGCCTTTTCTGGCATCAGACACCTCATTTCCGCAGCGTTCCCGGCGTTCTGCATCCTCAAGGCCGTCAGACACTCAGGTCCTGGCCCAGAATGGCCTGGAGAACAATTCAGAGGTAGTAGGAACCATTTCTGTGTGCAGAGCCTGAGCCCTGGGCCCCCCTTCCCTACTTCCCTTCTGCCTGTCAGAGCAACTGAGGACACTTCACCTTAAAGACTGGGAGAGAAGCGCCAAGGAGGCTTGTTTGTGACTGTCCTCCCACAGACCCCAAGGGGCTGGCCTGACCCCAGCTGCCCACCACCAGGACAGCAGGTCTATGAGCAGACAGGCAGAGGCTGCTGCCAACAGGGGGGGTCGTGGAGGAGTTCCTCTGACTGCGTACCCCACCCCCTTAGTTACAGCCCCACAAAGCCGTGGGCGTTGACTGACAGTGTCACTCCTCTCTGTGCTGGTACTGCACTGTGATAGACAGGTTCCTATAGCCTAACCCTGACCCCCTGACCCCTGATCCCTGACCTTTGCAGGCTGGTGCAGCCCTAATGCCTGAGCTGAAGAGAAATGAAGCTGGGGGAGAGTGGAGGGCGGCTGGCCAGGCAGGGTCTTTGTCAGAGACTCATCTGCCAAGAAGATGGAGGTCCTGCCTTTCAGAGGGAAACTGAGGGAAAAGGCTACCAGGACAGTGGCAAGAGCAGGAGCAGCAGCCTCCGGCACTCCCAGGTGCTTGGGGCAGGGGTGGCTTCCAGACCCTTCTCTCCCCCAAAGCTGCAAGAGGCCCCAGAGGCAGGCCCGGGGACTGGGCTGGCCCCCTGGCTCCTGGCCTAATCCTCTTTTAATGAGCGGCCAGCCGGAAGGCCGCAGGCCCTGGCCACAGCCCTGGGAGCCCCAAATGGACTGAGCTGGGGGCAGGGCAGCCCCCAGCCTTTGCAGA